TGAGATAGATGCTGCATTGGCGTGCGCTACTGCTGCTGGAGTACGACTAACAGGAGCTAACTCATTTCTGCTCACTGACCAGGGTACAAGTTGGTGCACAAAATATTGAAGCACATTGAGATGAAGTGTTGTTAAGCACATTGACGCGTACATTCTGCATACACGGTTTCTACCTTGTATTGTTAACCAGCCAAAGCCTTTACCGAGTATCATTGTCGCCTGGCAGACACTACCCTTTACGGTCTATAACAGCTCACATCAGCATATCGTGGCCATCGATTGTGCACGAAAACTGCTCTTGATGTGCATCATGCATCTGGTAGCAATACATGACGGCGCTGTTGTTTTGGCCGAAAACGGCCTTCGCGGTTTCTTCCATCCGCATCAGTGGTGCATTGGTTCAGGTTGGGCATTATCCGAAGCTGGGCGCATCAAGAAAACCGAGAAAACCTGCAGAACAGCACTTTTGTGACATAGTACCATAACCGCCCGTTTGTTCCACGCCATTTCCTCGCCAGGCAAATGGTCCGCTCCACTGGTGCGGCCTCTCGAGGTGGAATCACCTCCGCACCACTGGTGCGGGGCAAAAACCATCAGCCCAATTCTTTGCTCGTGGTAAGCTTTAACGCCCAACCTACTGACCGTGTTCAAATCTCAAGAAAATCTTCTCACGTTCTTGGTGCTCGATACTTCATCTGTGACTGATCAAGAAATCAGTATCGTTGATTTTACGAAGATAACTGACTAACTTCAAAGTCGTCGATTTTGGTTTGGAGAAGCAATACCTTCAAAGAGTTACCCTCGGTTCTTATTTCGCCAAACGGCGCTCAGAATGGCAGACCCGAGTTTTGCTGAGCTGTTCAAACAAGAATTTTACGTCGGTTAAAACTGAATTTTCGAGTGTTGCCAATTCAACCGAAAAGGCACCAGGAGTCACTGCGAAATTGACCAATCCACCAGCGGTGCGGCGACGAGAACTCCAGCAGAACAGCGCCGACGCTTTATGCAACGCAAGACCTGAACTGATTTACTCTACAAATTGCGATGCAAACTGGGGACGGTTCTGCCTAAACAAAAATATCTAGCAAGTCAAAGCCTAGAATTGAGGTGAGAGCGTTTGCCCTGTTCTGTTGCCACACCACTTGGTGCGGACCCCTCCGCACAGCACCAAATTGATGCTTCTTCCGAGGTTCTACCAGAGATCCTATGAGCTTCTTTTATGAGGGCGTATTCCTTGATACCAGGCTCGGGAAACTGAACCTCTTCCCGGACCCAACGAGTGCTTTGCAGTGCAGTTCGCCCGCCTTTGCCCAAAGCAATGGTGTACATGTGTCGCAAAAGCTATCCCCCACTCCCTGGCAAAATGGGTGCGGGACTGGTGCGGCCCTGGTTCCCGCTCAGAGGGGGAATCCAGGGTCCGCACCAAGTGGTTCAGGGCAGGGATAAATGTTTTTCATCGTCGTGGTTGGCCCCTGTGCTTTCAGGCCATCCAACCATCTAATGGTTGGTGGCGAGAGGAGGTTTGACGGTCTGCGAAGCCTTAGTCACTGCAGTTGCGCGGAGGGTGGCAGGAGGGTGTGCCGCACCAACGCGAGGTTTGATGATTCGCAGAAGCATCCGGCCGCACCAAGTGGTGCGATGCTGTCCTGTCCGCCCACCATTTGTCGCCGGGGCAACAAAACAACGCCATTATTCGCGCACGTTACGGTGCTGTCCTTTTGGAAAAAAAAAACGGCCTTCGCGGATTCTTCCATCCGCATCAGTGGTGCGTCGGTTCAGGTTGGGCATTGTCCGAAGGTGGGCGCATCAACTTAACCGAGAAAACCTGCAGAACAACACTTTTGTGATACTATAAGGACGCGGTGAAGATCGGCCCGATCTGAGTGCGATTGTGTCAGATTGGGACAATCCACCACTTCCAAGAAGCCGCTCGGATATTTTGAGGCAATCGCGTGCAATCGGAGGCAATCTGTCGATTCCAATCGGCAATCCGATCGATTGAGATCGATCGCCCGATCTGACGCAATCGCTTGCGATCGATTGCAATCGATAGATTGCCTCAGATCGCGGGGTCTGGCGACAGTTGAGAACAGTAACTTACCATGACGTAAGTCGACACTGCTCGCAGCAGCATCGGATATCGGGATATCAGATCTTTCTATACGCGCCTTCGCCAACCAATCAAAAGTGCTCATGCACGTGCCAGAATCAGGATGAATCGGGAACCCAAAATGGGGCTACACTGTAATTGCGCGATACATAATTTTCGCCAGGTGTCACAAACTTTGTAAGGAAGGAACGGGTGAATAGCCTGGAACACGCGTGGCTGATTCTCACTTACCTCCTCGAAATTCATCGTCTGATCGCGCGGCTCGGGACGCAATCGACAGATTGTGTCAGATCAGGGCAATCCCACCCAAACCGATCCGATCCGACCGGATCGACGATCTGAGGCGATAGATCACCCGATCTGCACCGCGTCGTTACCTACCGCGCGGGTGTTCCAAGTTATTTCCTCGCCAGCCAAATGCCTGCACCACTGGTGCAGCATCTCGAGGTGGAATCACCACTGGTGCGGGGCAGAAACAATCAGCCCAAACCTTTGCTCATGGTAAGGTTGAACGCCCAAGCACTGACCGCGTTCAAATTTCAAGAAAATCTTCTAAGGGCGCGTGTCTTTTGGTTTTTATAAGCAGAACTCGGATTTTGGGTTGAACTGTATGCATTTGAACCTAGGTCGACCTAGGCTTGAGTATATCCACATCTTCAAACCGAGTCGCGGCTCCAACACCCCCGAGAATAACAGGACACACAAAAGTTCACCTATCGAAGTTGAGCTTTTGAGCCCCGGCCGAGTCGCGGTCTATTCTCGTAGGTTACCCGGTTTGGGTTGGAGTCTCGTAGGTTGCCACGTGTGTGTTGCCGAAGCCGGCACTCAATCTGACGACGTCGCTAGTGCGCACGATGATAGCTGCGTGTCTCAGAATTCGCATCTTCGTCGTCTGTGGTCAGCTGGACACACGCTTGCGTTTTCGTGCCAACATGATTGTTGAAGAAAGCTCAACTTCGGATTCGTGATTTCAACACCTCCGATGTTGTCCTCGGACATACGACGTCTTCGCGAAATAATTCGCGACAGATGCGAGAAGGGTAACCAGCAAAAGCTCAACCGAAAATCCGAACGTCTACAGAAAAAGACACGCGCCCTAACGTTCTAGCAGCACCAATGTGGGAGGAGGTACGAAGTGGGGAGAGTCACCCTCGGTTCTCATTTCGCCAGACCGTGCTCACAAGGGCAGACCCGAATTTGGCTGAGCTGTTCAAACAAGAAGTTCACCTCGGTTAAAGCTGCGGTCTACATACTAAAAGGGATTTTCTGGGGGTAGTCTTAGAGCACACCCTTTGGCGCAAGATGATTCGATTTGAACCTTCTCAACCGAAGGGCGAAGAAGGCACTACGAAATGAACCTCCACACCTCTGGTGCGGCGGCCGAGAACTCCAGCACAACAGCGCCTGTGGGTGGATGGATGCCCGACCGTCAACAACGCGCCTCCAGTGATACAAGGCTGGAGCATCAAGCACAGCCTCAAGTAAATTCCTCGCCCTCCCTCGCCTCTCGCTTCACTTGTGTTTGTGGCTCAGCTTTGTTTAGGCCGAAGCTAGCGCGCTCCGCTGTTGCGAGGCGGACGTAGGTCAGCGGGCGCGCGTGCTCCTGTAAACTTGGCAGCATCTGAAGTAGTACGTCATTCGGGAAACATCGCAGAAATGGTTCCAACCAAGTTTTATGGACGACGGTGTTTGTCACGACTCACGACGACGACGCACGGGAGTCGTGCAGGTGCAGTGGGATGGGGAAACCCGTCATCGGCGAAACAACCGAGGCCCAGTTCGGCAGGCATTAAAAAAACGGTTTCCCCGTATGGGCTACAGTAAACCGACCACCCTGGAACCTTCTTTGATAAGCGCGCGAAAGGTTATCTAGGCTCGATATAAGCGGATCATCGCCGAACCAGACAATAATGGAATGCCAGCCGAACACCCCTTTTAACGCTGGCATTTTTAACAAGAGGAACCTTCCTCGAACCCTTTTTCTCAGGCAAACTGTCCATTTTCTCATCCGCCGCACCATGCGGCCTCGAGGTCCCGCACCATGCGGGGGATCATTGATTCGGGGCAATCACACGTTGCCCTGAAAAAAACAAATCCCGGCCTTTCTCACCCCTCTTCGTGCCCGCTGGAAAATCGCACATCACCAACACACCATCTCTAACACATCGAACGCACAGTATGCCTTGTGCGATTTTTTTTCGACGTCCACCGCTGCTTTGCAAGGCTGCCCGGGCTGCCCGTACAGTGATTCTATGCTCTCTCAGCGCAGCCGCATACAAGCTTCTCCGAAGTTTTGTTTTCGGTTGATGCCATTAAATTTGGCCCATTTAATGCCAACCGAACACGTGGCCCATTTTTCCGAAGTTGCCCTGGGGTAACAGTCTGACTTCGCTGCTGTTTCGAGGGGCCATTTTTTGGGAGCCCATTAAAAATGCCGATAATGGCGATAATGGCCAGAATGCCTGCCGAACTGGGCCCGAAGCTGCGTCACTCTGTGTAGTTTTGAAAACGCGCGCTCCGCGCCGAAGCGCTCAAGGACGGTGTGAGTGAGGAGGATATGACGTGGCGCGTCCCTTCACGCCACCACCACCACACCCTGACCCTCACCGCGCACACCAAAGACGAAGCTCAGCCGCAGCCGCATTGCGTTCATGATTCATAAACCAGCTGGCTGCCATAGACACCATCACCAGCACTAATTTGGAGCGTTACTACTACTACGAATACGAGTGGCTGTGTTAGGAACTTGTTCTTGGTCGACGCAGTCGCCCCTTCACTGCCTTGCGCTTGTCACGGTGAGCTAGACCCTTCGCTTTTCCGCGTAGCACTTAAGTTATAAGCTCACTGCTTGTTGATTAGCCAGGTAGCTCACAGCGATCCTCGGCCGCACATGATCATGGCCGCGCGGCCCTTTACCTCCACAGTCCCTAGCAGCTCTGTGCAAGTCGCGGCGGTAGTCGCGCTGGTCCTCGCGCTGTCCGCCGCGAGTACGAGGCCCGTCGCGGCGTCGTTCTGCGCCGACTACGTGAAGGCCTTCAAATCCCCCGAGCTCGCATCCGTGGATGACATCGTCCTCACCGCGTACACGGTACGTCAACCGCACGCTCGCCGTTGAAAGCCACTTCAGCGAAACGCACTGTGAAACGCGCGCTTGCGAGTGAGAGTCCCAACTCATAGCCAATCAACACCCTTTCACTCACCTTGATTTCCGCCCACCCGTGTGCGCCTTGCCAATCTCGCCAACCTTCCATCCGCGTTGTTGTCTAACCACCGGCAGTGCCGGTGGTACGAGATCGGGTCGACGGCAGGGTTCCGGTTCACGTTCGAGCTGGGGCTGACGTGCACCACGGCCAACTACACGGCCAAGGGGTTGGTCAACGGCCGCAACAAAGTCAAGTGAGTCCTGGGTGCCATGCGCGCCGCGGTACCGGCTCGAGTGAACTTCAGTCGAAGATTGATAACGTGGATCAGTCAAAGGTGCAAGCTTTGCCTCTGACTGTCGCATTGTCACACGCCATTGTGACTCCGATTTGAAGCATCTGTTTTTGTCCTGTGTTAGTCCCCCCCCCCCCCCCCCCTCTCCCTCACTCTGTCTCCGCTCCTTCCTCCCTGCGTCGTCCTTCCTCGCCCATCTTTCAGGGTGGTCAATCGCGGCATGCGCAGCATCGCTCTCCCGCGTCGCTCGCAGATCTTCACTACCTCTTTAAACGCCAATCGCATTGCCAGCAATCTCAGGATCGTCTGTGGAGTCGCCAACACCGCCGCTACAGCGAGCGCTCAAGCACATACCCTCCTCTCCGCAAATACCGCCACAAACCGCAGCGTTGAATCCCTCGCTGCAGCCGATAAACTCGCCGCGTTCGCCACGTCGGTGTCGTCTGATGCCGAGATGATTGACAATGCGCTGAGGGATTTTCAGACGGAGGCCGACAAGCTGAACAAACGCGGGCAGGCCAAGGGGTTCAGCGGCGCCAAGGGCAAGATGCTCAAGTCCATCTCCAACATCCAGGGGGCCGCCGGGCGAATTCTCCAAGCGGCTTTCACCGGGAAGACCGCGGCACAGGGGTTGTCTGGAGCGCTGAGAGCCATGGGTGGGCAAGGCGCAGAGACCGCTGCGAACGGGGTACGTGGGAGCTGAAGCCATTGTGCTGCTCTCCTTGTCATTAGCTTGGGTGTAGCTTCTGCCACGCTTTGCCTCCGGCCAGAAGTTTGGTTTGCTCACGCTTTCTCTGTGTGCTTTAACCCGTATGTGTGCCACATGTTCAGCTGGGGTCGCTGGTGGGAAACACAAGGATCATGTTTGCTGCCACCAGCATTGTGCGGCTAGCGACAGTCATGGTCGCACCCACGGTCGCCATGGTGCCGTCGCCTCTCAGAAGCCTTTCACAAGGCTTTGTTCGAGGCAAGGCCTTGCAAAGCAAGAAGAATGTAAGCTTGCTCCAGGCCTGCTTTGTCCTTGCAGAGTTGTGCTGGCTCCCTCTATATCGCCTTTGGAGTCACACACTCTCGTACTTTCTTGGTTCCTCTGGTGATGCAGGCGGGCCGGCTCTCTGTGACATTCTTTGGCCCGGCGCCATCAAAGCCCAACTACTCTGTGTTTAACGTGCAAGGAGATCTATCGGCGGGCCAGTACACACAAGCAACTGTGGTTGATACAAGTGGAGGAGAGGTAAGCTCGTTTTTTCTCTTTTCCTTGATGATGTTTTGCATTGTTTGTTTTGTACCATACTAATCTTCCTCTCGTTACCATTGCAGGCCACAATCTGGCTTCTGTCTCGCACACCTACAATCCCGCAGTCTGTGATAGATGCTGCGTTGGTGCGTCTTACTGATGCTGGAGTGCGGCTAACTGGAGCCAACGCATTCTTGCTCACTGACCAGACTACAAGTTGGTGCACCAAATATTGGAGCACATTGGGATAATGTTATGTTGGTACACTTGTTTCCTCTTATGTATGTTGAGAGCTAATGAATCGTAGTGAGCCACAGATTGTAGTGGAAGCCTTCTCACTCCACATTGTGCGATCCACGACCATCCTCGTCAGCACTTCAGCAAGTACGTTTGCGGTCATCGATTCCTCGATTATCCTTGAAGAGATCTACAATACTGTACATTGTCGTGGCTCGGGTTCAGGGCCTACGTGATCAGGGCAATTACCCTGTTTTGACTGAAATTATAAGGTTTTTTTCACAGCAACTCTGATTTTCACAAGGTAATTTTCGGACCAGCTCGTAAAACTGAAGGGTGATTTTTGAGCCCACTCGGAATACTCAGGGATGTTTTCAAGGGGACCCGGATAGTTTTAGGACGCGTCACAAGTAAAATATCGAGGAAGGATCAGGGTTGTTCACCGAACCTGTCAAACCGATCGCCATATCGGTGTGTCACGACTGCTTTGAAGTTTCAAGTGACACGATCGTAAAAACATGGGGCAAAATTGCCCGATGTGGACGAAATTGCACGATCGATGTGTGACAGGGGCACATCGATCGCCTGACTTAGAAGGGAAAACTGTACGTTAACGAAAATAAACGAGAAAGTGTAACCACCTAAACACCGATTCTAGGCAGGATCGATGTTCTACTTGTGACGCGTCCTTAGAACACTTATCGTCCCCGACCTGCCTCGCATCCCCTCCCTCTCCCCGTGTACAACGCATAGGCCACTTTCAGTGAATTTTCCTTAGCATTCGCTCCTGGTTTGGCCTCCTGGTGTTTGACTTCCGGTACTACGTTGAGGTGGCTATTAGCACTCCTCCACGTATAAAAAATTCTAAGTATACAGAAAGTCTCTCTCCCCCCTCTAGCGTCGCTTTTTAATGGCCAACCTTCCCAGCCTTCGTAAAACTCACAGTGAGTCTCTCACCCACTGTGAGTTTTACGATCATAGCCCCATCCCGCGAGATTCTGGTAAGGTAGGCTTTCAGGCCTTTTCTGGCTCGAACCCGGATTTGTGAAGGTTTTTTTCCCACTGGCTCGTAATTTACAGGGTCTTTTTCACAGGGGCCCGGATCGTCCGAGCTAGCAAAAATCCTAGCAATAGCCCTGCTCGGGTTAGAAGTTGCTTTGACGCGCTTCGGAGTTTCGAATGACGACATTTTTCGTCACTGCGGAACATTACCGGCTGGGGATTCGTGGCGGAGCTTGCTCGTGTGTGTGTTGGTGATTTTCACCTCTCTCCACAGCTAACTCCAGTCTAGAACACTTTGCTTGGACTTGGATTTGATCATTCACCACAACAGTATTTCCAGCCACCAATTCCGCATCGCCTTACGGCGGCCCCCCAAGATGGCGAAGCGCGCGTAGGGGTGGTGGAATTGGTTCGTGGTCGTCATCACACGCCAGACGCCTACAAAAAGGGGGTAACTCCACATCAGCACGCAATAAGCCAATGACAAGTCCCTCCTCCCAACCGAACTCACACAATAGTGAATGCTGGGCGAAATTCTGACATGCAGTGCGGATAGGTGTACTGAATAGCGCACGAAATGTAGCGCGGATAGTGTAGTGAAGGTCAAACATAAACACATGTCGCTTTACAGGTCCTTTCGCCGCACCACAACACATCGCACCTCCTTATCAGTGAATTTTGATTGATTATTATCCAGCCATTCCCATCGACGCTGAGTGCTGACTTTCCGACTAGACTACCAGACGCGTCGGTCACACCAGCAAGTTCTGAGCTGACCGTAAGGCTGTCGAGCGATGGCTGCTCGCAGGTTGGCGCAAGTTACAGCGGCTGTTACGCTGCTCCTCGCGCTTTCTGCGCTGACACCCGCCTCCGCGTCGTTCTGCGCCGACTATCTTCGGGCCTTCAAATGCCCCAAGCTCGCGTCCTTCGACACCGTTGACATTTCGGCTTACACGGTGTGTGTAACCCCTTACTAAATAAATTGTGCGTTTTTCCGCGTGGATCAACCGACTTTGCTCGTGTAAGCGGCACGCGGCGCGTCTGAGTTGGGCCTCCGCGACGGTTTGGCGCTGGCCAGACCATCAGGCCACCGCGGACGACTGATGTGGACAAGACGTACAGGAAGCAGTCGCCTGATAACTTTCGTTTTTCGATTTTAGCGATGTCCGTGCGTGAAGGTTATTGATTAGTCACTTGAATGACTCACAATCCCCTGAAGGAATCCTCGCAGCGCCCGATCGCGCCCTCCTTGTACTAGCGCAGCAGTCACGCACTTGCTCCCCTCGTAATAGCTATTCGCCTTCCAATCAACATCATGACTCCCCTCGACGCCGCGACCTCTCGCCCTGACCTACTGTTACTTTATCTGCTCGCCGTGACTTGCTGTGGTGCGGCAGGGTCGGTGGTACGAGGTGGCGTTGACGGCGCGGTTCCACTACGAGAGGGAGGTGGGGCTCACGTGCACCACGGCGGATTACACGCCCGATGGGACTGTCAACGGGCAGAAGCGAATCAAGTAAGTGAGTCACGAGCGAGCTAGAAAGGAATGGGTTGTGCCCAAATTATGTACGCCTCAGGAAAGCCTACGCGATGCACCACAAACCATGCTCACACTCACTGTCGCACCGATACGATATGAACTGGTGACAGCTCTTGTGTTGCGCTCGCAGTAGCATCACTGCAGCGATTGCCGTCACTTCTCTGCCCACAATACCCCTTCTCGTCCATTCAGTATAAAGCTGAAACTCCATACCCTCGCTCCGTCCTTAATCCACCTTTTTCCGTCTCCCTCCCACCCCCCGTCTCCCCATGCTCCCCGTCTCTCAACCCTCCGCCCTCCGCCCGTCCCCCAGGGTGCTCAACCGTGGCAAGCGCAGCATTGCCTTCGCGCGGCAAGCACAGGTTCTACTGTCCTCGACTAACGCTGGCCGCATCGCCACCAACCTCGGGATTGTCTGCCGAGTCGCATACAACGCAGCCAAAGCGAGTGCGCTGGCCCAGGCCCTCCTTGCCGCCAACGCCTCCGCGGATGCCGCCACAAGCAGCGTCAGCGCAACCTCAGGCCCGCTCGCAGCAGCCAATGAGCTTGCGGCATCTCTCGCCTCTGTATCGTCTGACGCGGAGATCATAGACAACGCCGCGAGGGACTTTCAGACGGCGATGAGTGCGATGAATGAGCGGCCGAAGCCCAAGGGATTCAGCGGCGCCAAAGGCAAGATGCTCAAGTCCATCTCCAACATCCAGGGCGCTGCTGGGCGGATCTTCCAGGCGGGGTTCACTGGGAGGACCGCAGCGAAGCAGCTCAGCGGAGTGCTGCAGTCCTTGGGCAAACAGGACGCCAAGACTGCTGCCAATGGGGTACGTGCTGGTCTCCTGTTTTGTTCTCTTCAACTTAGCTGCGAGTAACGTGCCTTGTATGTATGCTTCTTCATCGGTCTCTGACTTGCCTTGGCTGTGCTGCCTGCACTGCTGTGTCCCTGTGTGCGTTGCGGTGAGTGCAGCTGCAGGCGTTTGTGCGAAACACGAGGCTGCTGTTTGCATCCAGCAGCATAAGCAGGCTTGCCACCGCCATGGTTCCTGTTGTGCTCTCCATGGTGCCCTCCCCCATCTCCCGCGTGGGTCAGGGCGGCTTCCCACGCGCCAAGGCCATCCAGAGCAAGACCAATGTGAGCGCTGCTGCCGTCTCCCCATCCCCTCAACTCTTTGTTTCTTGCCCTTTCGGCTTAGAAAGTGCTCCATCTTCTTTGTCGCATTATGAAGTTTATGCAGCGATTATATGGTGTTTACCCATTTCCATAAACGATGTGTTTCCTCTTTGTGTGCAGGCTGGCAAATTGTTCGTAATATTCTATGGTAGGAAGTCAAAAGAGCCCAACTACATCATCTCAGACTTGCAAGGAGACGCTTCCAGTGGCTACAGCCTTGCCACCGTTTATACCTGCTATAAGGAAAAGGTGCATCCGCATTGAATGCAGTGCCTGTTCGCATCCTTTTTATCACTCGCTGACCTTCCCTGATTTCCCACTGCAGACAACTGTTTGGCTTCTGTCTCGCACCCCCAATGTGGCGCAATCCGATATTGATGCTGCTTTGGGCCGTCTCACAACTGGTGGCCTCCGGCTTACAGGCGCTAATTCATTAGTGCGCACTGATCACACTCAGAGCTGGTGCAAGAATTACTGGAGCAGACTAAAGTAGCCCCTGGAAAGTATATTCTGATGCAGATCGTGTAGGAGTTTGATTGATTTGGCATACGGTAAGATGTTTGTTTAGCTGCGTCGGGAAAGATGACTTCTTATAAGCAAGCTGCACTAATACGCGTCACACATTTCCTTCACGCGTCGCAACGGAGCCCAAATTTGAGCGCCCACCAAGATTTCAACAATATTTTCACCGACATTCCGAATCGCGCATTCGAGAGTGACACGACGGTTCCCCCTGGATAATGCGATTGCCCTGCCCACTCCTACCTCGTCTCCTTCTCTCCCCCTCATTTCGCACTGACGAGGCAAACACACAACACAAAACTCCACACTTCGAACCGACATGTTTCTGATGTTCTCGCCTTCTCCTTGCATCTAAAGCTGTAACAATCTGTAGGCCTTCGACCTGTGTTGTTGAATCTCCAGAAGCACGTAGTTTGAATCTCACTTTAGAGCTACGGCCACTGCTGATTTTATGGAAACAAAGTGTTTTCGTGTGTGCCTGTTTGTTCTACCGCTCGCTATAGTGCTCGCGACGCTATTGCCACCAGCAGCGCTGGCACAAGACGTGTCGCCCAGCGATGGCTCCGACGACGTACCCTTCTGCGAGAAATTCGTCGAAGATTCATCCCCAAAGTGCCCAAACGTTGAGACCGTGCCGAACCTCAACATGGGCAAGTTCCTGGTAAGCACTGCCCGACAACCACCGCTCGCTTGTCAATCTTCTCGTGACATGAATTCTCTCAACTCCTCTTCCTCCCTTTCGGTATTCCGCTGCCCTTCCTCCCGAGCAGGGCAAGTGGTACGAGATCGGTGCGACGGCGCTGGGCAAGTTTCAGAGCAAGGGCGAGCTGGGAATCGCGTCCATAACCTACACCTACAGCACCGCCAAGAAGGGAAAGTCCCGCGGCGCTCTCAGGTACCGCTAAAACCCACAAACCAAGCTTCACTCAGACCGCACCCTCACGTTACTCCGATTCCACAAAATTTTGAAGACTCCCGACCCTGTCGCTTCATTTCGGCGTTAGCCATGGTCTTCATTTGTGCCTGCTCCCCTTCCCGCCCGAAGCTTGACGCGCCAGGGCGTGGTGGCGGTGATGCCGATGCGGCGCAGCCAGGTCGCCGCAATCTCCGCCGCCACCACCGTTCTCGCGCAGCAGCTGCGGGCCGTGTGCGGCACGGTGTCGTCAGTGCGCACGAAGCAGCAGCTGAGCACGTCGTACCTCACGCTCGGTTCCGAAGAGCTCCCGGTCGACGTGAAGCAGTCCGTATCATACGGCCTTGGGAATATCGAGGGCGCGGTGGCGGACGTGTCACGGCGCGCAAAGACGCTCTGGGCGGAGCTGGACGACGTGCAGCGCGCCAATGCGCAGTTGAATCAGCGTGACTCCTTCGCGCTGGTGGCGCGGATGAAGAGCGCGTTGCGGAGCGCGTCAAGCGCTATTCAGGGGGCGGCGAAGGGGATCGACGCTAAGCGGAACGAAATGTACTCAATCGCTGCCATGAACCGCGTGATTGTAGGCGGCGTGACTGCAGCGCAGGGCAGCGCCAAGGGGAAGGAAACAGTACGTGAACTATCACGAGTCAGGCTCAATTCGAAGTTGTAGAAAAAGTCTCTGCGTGCTTACATTCAAAGCTGCTGCATTCTCCATACCTGACTCAGCCTTTCTTCCTGTCGTCGTTTGCGCTGACTATCGTTCACTCCTCATGGTCCCCTCTCCGTGTACACGTGGCAGATATCCCTGGCGATGGCGAACGTCATGACCGAGTGCCAGAACGGTAGCGCCTTCTCGCAGCGCGTGGCGGCGCTGGCCTCCGCCACGCGCTCTCTGTCGCCCCTCGTGTCCAGCCTCTTCAGCAGCCCCAGCCCTGCTATTTACACCACACGCACCACTGCCACCGCCGCTCTCAAACTCACCTCCGAGGTTAGGTGATGGCAGTGGACAGGGGAATGCATGCAGTTGCAACATTCTTTTGGGCTGTGGCTTGCTTTCTTTTCTTTGATGGCTGTGCCTATAATGTTGCTGTGTTTTGTGGGGTATGTGTGGCAGGCTGGGAAGATGATCCAGCAGTATCAGGGCGTGCAGACAGACCACTGGATAATTGGACTGTGGGGCAATTCTGCTAAGGGGTACTCCCATGCACTTGTGTACTCGTGCTACCAGTCCACGCCAGGCTTATCATCAGATCAAGATGGCCAGGTGAGAATTGCATGGCCTGCAGCATCACCCCTTAGTTGCTGCATCCTTCAATTGTTCGTTAATATTGTTTTCAATCATTTGTGTTGCAGGTCACTGTCCGGCTCCTTTCTAGGACGCCTAAACTTCCCGAGGCGTCCATTAATGAAGCATTAAAGCTTCTATCTGACAAAAATATTGATTTAAGTGGACCTAATCCTTTTACATTCAGTGCCCAGTATAACTGATTTTTTTAGATTCATTTACTAGTTTTAGTATTATGTTTTATATTCTCTATAACAAAACGCACATTGTTGGACACCACCCTGTGACGAGTACATTTTCAAAGCCAACCAGGCAAAATGCATCACACTCGGCATTCCCGTTGCCCTCCCCCATCGCATACCCTCGTCACCTCAAACATCGCTCGCTTGCCGCGTGTCGAGCAACGCTATTCGTGTGCTGTCAGGACGCAGCATGGCGTCGCGATTCATGGAGCTCCCTGCAGCCGACTACTCTACTGTTCTCCAAAGCACCAGGGTCGTAGAAAGAACTCGACGGTTCAAAAAGGCTGCATCACTTATCTTGAGTTTTATCGTCTGCATAGCTGGATAGCGTTCACGCACTTCTGCCGATTCGGATACACTTTCTTTGTCCATAACACGAACATGGGCGCTCAGGTACTTCTCTGCGCTTCGTTTCTGCTTGTTTAGATCTCTTCGCGTTTCCTCCGCTTTTGAGCACTAGCTTACGTACGGGATCCATGGGTGCGCGTGTGTGCGGCGATGGTGCAGAGGAACGTGAAGGTAGCCGTGGCGGTGGACGGCAGCGACAACAGCATGCACGCGCTGCGAGAGGCGGTGCGGCTCTTCGCGCGCACGGCCAAGGAGTTCCACATCATGCACGCGCACAAGCCGCCGAATGGTAATCCCTCCCTCCACCAAGCAGGCAGAACGTTTTCATGGAAAAGAAAAGGTACCTCCTGTCTCAACAATGACTGTTATCACACTCTTGTGTGCAATTTCTAGCCGAAAAGGAAACGTGAGGTATGTTGTACGGTTTGCTGTATGTTACAGCTATGCAATACCGCAATCTACCTGTTCCCATGAACTAATATTCCTGCCAGATCCGGGGTATTGCTACACCCCCATGTCTCCCGTGCCTTTACCCCCCGAGCGCCCACCAGAGTTCCGCACGGACTCACTGTTCTCATGGCAGGAGTACTACCAGCGCATGGAGCATGAGAGGCATGCCAAGGCGCAGCAGCTGCTGCAGAAGTGTGCTGCCGTGGTGAGGGAAGAGGGTGGGAAGCTGGGGATGGACGAGGGCGTGGCGGTGAGTGGCGTGGATCTCAAGGGCGACCCTCGGGATGTGCTGGCCAGCCACGTGCAGAGGGTTGATGCGGATCTGATGGTCATGGGGACACGTGGCATGAGCCTGCTCAAACGGTGAGGCTTCTCCTGGATTGCTTTTGACGGGAAACAGCTGAAGTTTTGTCCGTGGATTGTTGGAGCTACCAAAGGAGTTAAACCAATGGTTGTTCTTAATGCACTCTCTTTCTTTTCTTCTCGCCCACCTCCCTGGGTCACACACCCTTGTGTCTTCGCAGCATGGCCCTTGGGAGTGTGAGCTCGCACTGTGTGCACCATGCTCCTTGCCCAGTGCTGGTTGTTCCATTGAAAGCAGATGCATCTCACGAGTCATTATCAGCACCCAAAGCAAGTGCCACCCGAGCTGGAACATCTGAGCTGGAGACTCATGCATTGTCTGCTGTAGGGGGTGCTTGAGGGGTTGTTTCTTTTAATAAGTGGGGCATTTTAGGCTACTGCAGTTAGTTTAGAACCACCGGTATGGCGCTATATTGGGTTTTTTTCGTATTTTAGAATTATGCATGGATGGTCATGCTATGTACAGGGAGTTCATTCAAGCATGAAATGATGCTAGTTAATGAGGACCGTAAAATGTTTCTGCCATTTTCTGCTGCTTGTATACAAGAGCTTGAGGAATATGAGTTGGCTGCAGTGTGTACAGTCAAGGGAGGCCTTTTTGTAACGAGGATCGCGCCACAGCCAATCACAAGGGCTTGCCTGTCTGTATGGCCTTACTGGATTCGTGGAGCGGCCAGCGCTGCCCCTGCAAAACGACCAAGTGCCTCCTCGCGTTGACAGATACGGAGCGGAGCAAGCTTCTCTGCAACTGCCACCAACCAATCCCAAGGGCCTCCGCCCAGCCTCCTCGCAGATCCTCCTGAGTCCTGGCATCAGGCTTACAGTAGTGATGCCTTGTGTTCTGTTCATGGAATCTGGACTGGAACCTGGCTTGAGGGGGAAATTAGGCTTCCACCACTTCCATCAAGCTTCATGGGAGGAGATTGCAGAGAGTCCGGATTGTAGGATTGCAGTAAGGGTTTTCAGTTGACAACGCACGGTTTTCGAAACTGCACGCCAAATGCGCAGTTTCATCGCTTCTGGGGCAGGGTTACTGCCCGTTTTTCGTTTACAGCGCAGAGTTTGTGCGATTTCTACGCAGCTCGACGCTCATTCGTCTAAATATCCGAAAACGACAAGCCTGCAATGTAACAGAAAATTTATTTAACTCAGTCAGGTGTTTCAAAATTTTCACGCCCATATAGAGAGTGCATCAATCCTAAACATCCAGTCGCGTGGAGTTTAGGGTTGATGCTCCCTCGACCGCCCCATTAAAATATATATATATATATATATATATATCAATCGTGACAAAGGGAATCAGCCCTGAACACTTTCGGCCAATGTTTAGGGTTGATGCTCCCTAAACACTTCCGCCCGGTGTTTAGGGTTGATGCTCCCTGAACAGCATGCCATCCGAGAGGGTAATATATTTTCGTCTGCCCAAAATTCAGGTGCAAACAGTTCGATGGCCGTCAATCCAACCGGAGTTGTCGGTCCGTCAACATTTTGACCAATGAAATCTTTACTGCGTAGAAATCTCACTAACTATGCGCTGTGATCGAAAACTGGGCACTAACAGTGCGCCAGAAGCGACAATGCTGCGCTTTTTTCGTATATTTTCAGTAACAGTGCGGGATTAACTAAAAACCCTTGCAGTAATGATCTAGTCATTTGACTAGCGCCTGCTACGCACCACGCTGTTGATCATGACTCGCGTGGCTAAAGCCATAGGGCCGTCGAGCTCGTTCCGCGACGTGACATTGCTCGAGACGCCTCTCCTCAAGGACCACCCGAACAGCGGCTCGCAGACTGCACCGAGGCGCCAGAACTCCGTGGGACCCACCGTCCGCATTCTTCGCTTCGGGTTCGGCCAGAGCCGGGAGCAGTCATGGCTCTCGCAGCTCAACCCCTTCGCGTCGCTCCGCTTCTCCGCGTCGCTCGCCGGCACGTGGCAGCTGGTGCGCGACGCCGTGCCGTGCCTGGATTGGCTACTGTCGTACGACGTGCGGCGCGACCTGAAAGGCGACATGGTGGCGGGGCTGTCGGTGGGTTTCATGATCATCCCGCAAGGCATGGCTTACGCGCGCGTCGCGGGCCTGCCGTCCATATACGGTCTCTACACCGGCTTCGTACCGTGCCTTGTGTATAGGTCCGTAGATCCTAGAGGTTAAACTAGAGAGCAGCAGGCCAATGGTCTCTACACCGGCTTCGTGCCGTGCCTTGTCTATAGGTCCGACCCGGTCGGTTAGCCGGCCACGTTGCTTCAATGCGGCACGAGTGCTGTTATGTATTACGAGTGGCTGGATGAGAAGTTAAGGCGTGTGGCGTACCCTTGTGCCTTTCCCGCGACCGCTGGTCATCATGACCCCCCTCTCATGACCCAACCCCCCTCCGCGTGTTCTCCCCGCGCACTTCCAACTCCCTCTCCGCGCTCTTACCGCGCTCTTTCCGCGCTCTTTCCGCGCTCTTCCCGCGCTCTCCCCGTGGCGCGCAGCATATTCGGCAGCTCGCGGCAGCTGGCGCTGGGTCCCACGTCGCTCGTGTCGCTGCTCGTGAACGAAGCCATCAAGTGAGTGCTCGCTGCACCGCCTTGCATCACACTGCGCTGACTTTGAAGTGCACTTGGAGCATCCCTCTTCCAACTGCACGCGCGTCGCTCCCTCGCCTTCCCTCATGCTCCTTCACCCACTCTTACCCACTTTCTCCGTCGCCCCCTCCCACCACTACCCGCCCTACGACCCTCTCTTCTCAACCCCTCTCCCCCCTACCGCATCAGGCAGATGGCGGACCCGGACTCGCACGACCCAGCGGAGCAGCGCCTCTACCTGGGCCTCACGCTGCTCCTCTCGCTCATGCTCGGCGCGCTGCAGCTGCTCGCAGGCCTCCTACGCCTCGGCTGGGTCGTGCGCTTCCTCTCGCACGCCGTGGTCTCAGGCTTCAGCAGCGGCGCGGCGATCATGCTGGGGCTCATGCAGATGCGATACTTCTTAGGTTACACCACGCGCCACGAGACCATGCACATGATACTATACGATATATTCGTCAATCTCAAGACCACGCACGTGCCCTCGCTCGTTATGGGGGTGCTCGCGCTCGCATTCCTGCTCATCATGAAGGTGCGCTCGCTCGCTCTCCCGTGCATGCCCACACTGCTCGGTCTCACTGCTGCTTCCCTGTTTTGTTCCACAATCCACTCATCTGCTTCCCTGTTTTGTTCCACAATCCACTCATCTGCTTCCAGCTGCCTGCTGCCCGCTCTTTCGCCTGCGCGCCCACTGCACGCTCCACCCCCATCCTAGCGCCCTGTTCCCCCCTTTCCCCCTTCCCACTTTCCTCCCCCCCTTCCCCGCTTTCCCCCCCCCCCCTCCTTCCCCCCTCCCCCAGCATCTAGGCAAGCGCCACAAGCGCCTGCGCATCCTCCGTACACTGGGTCCCATCCTGGCAGCAGCCATGGGCACAGCCGCCATCAACCTGCTGCGCAACCCCTGGCGCATCCGCGTCACCCCTCCCCTCTCCCCCGGTTCTCCCCCCATCCTCCTCCGTCCCCCCCCCCCCCCACCACAGCACCTGGGCAAGCGGCACAAGCGCCTGCGCATCCTGCGCACACTCGGCCCCATCCTAGCAGCGGCCATGGGCACGGCGGTCATCTACCTGCTGCGCAACCCCTGGCACATCCGTGTCACGGGGCAGGTGCCCTCGGGGCTCCCCTCCGCCTTCTCCACGTTCCCCTGGGCGCGCTGGCGCGAGCTGGTCTCCCCCGCGCTGGTCATCGCCAGTGCAGCGTATCTGGAAACGATTGCGATCGCCAAGACGCTCGCTGCCAAGAATGGGTACTCCGTGGACGCCAACCAGGAACTCGTGGGTAGGTTGGTGGGGGGTAAAGGAGGGGAGGAGAGGCTGGCTGGGGAGAGCGAGTGGGCTGGGGAGAGCGAGTGGGCTGGGGAGAGCGAGTGGGCTGGGGAGAGCGAGTGGGCTGGGGAGAGCGAGTGGGCTGGGGAGAGCGAGTGGGCTGGGGAGAGCGAGTGGGCTGGGGAGAGCGAGTGGGCTGGGGAGAGCGAGTGGGCTGGGGAGAGCGAGTGGGCTGGGGAGAGCGAGTGGGCTGGGGAGAGCGAGTAGGCTGGGTGTTTTGAGTTGACTCAAGACGCTCGCTGCCATGCCGAGAATGGGCACTCCAGTGACACCAACGACAACTCGTTGCTGCGTGCATGTGCACGTGGGGAGAAGGGTTTGGCGGGGAGGGGGAGGGAGGGGAAGTGTATGGGTGACGCGCTCTTCCCCATCCCAAGCCCTGGGCGTGGCAGATGCTGTGGGGTTGTGCTGCAGCCTTCAGGCCTTGCCATTTCAACAGGCACCAGCTTCTTCCTCGCCCTTCCACTCCCCCACTCGCTCATACCTTGTTCCACCCTCGCACTCCCTCGCCTCGCCCTCCCTCGTCCTCCCTTGCCTCCCTCGCCCTTCTCCCTTGCCCCCTCTCTCTGCAGCGCTGGGTCTCGCGAACGCGGTGGGGTCTTGCTTCCAGGCGTTCCCCACAGGGGGCAGCTTCTCGCGGTCGGCAGTGAGTGACGACTGTGGCGCCGCCACTGGCATGGCGGGCGTGGTGTCCGTGCTGCTCGTGCTGCTCACGCTCATGTTCCTCACGCCCCTCTTCCAGTTCCTGCCCCTGCCCGTGCTCGGCGGTGCGTGGTTAGAGGGGGGAGGAAGGGGATGTGGGGACGGGGGATGGGGGGTCGGAGGGCCTGGGGGTTCAGGAGGGATGGGGGATGGGGACGGAGGAGTGGAGGTATGTGAGTGTGGTAAACGTGGGGCGTGCATACATGTCTGTGCTGCTCATTCTCATGTTCCTCACGCCCCTCTTCCAGTTCCTGCCCCTGCCCGTGCTGGGAGGTACGTGTGTGAGGGCGGTGTGGGTGGGGGATAGGGTGACATCTTTAAGCATGTGTGCTGCTTGCTCTCCTCATTCCGCTCCCACTTCCTGCCCCTGCCTGTGCTCGGAGGTTCTTGGGTTCATATCCATGCTTATGTGTCCTGCAGCGCAATGGGTCTCTTCCCTACCATCGCCATTACTATCACTATCGCCTCACGTAACACTATTTCTATCAACACCACACGAATTGCCTTTCCACTCCCCCCACCCACCCTACCCCTGCACAACCTTCCTGGTGTCGTTGGTGTGCGGAACTGGTGGACTACGAGGAGGCGGCCTTCCTGCTGCGGGTGGGCCGTTACCACCACCACCAACACCACCAGCATTTGTACAAGGCTTCACCTAAGATGCCTTCCCTCTCCCCAACCCCCCATGCAGCCATCCTGGTGTCGTCAGTGTGTGGGCTGGTGGACTACGAGGAGGCGGCCTTCCTGCTGCGAGTGGACCCCAAGGACTTTGTCGTGTGGATGCTCGCCTTCTGTGGCACGCTCTTCTTCGGCATCCAGGTGCGCTCTTCTTCGGCATCCAGGTGCGCTCTTCTTCGGCATCCAGGTGCGCTCTTCTTCGGCATCCAGGTGCGCTCTTCTTCGGCATCCAGGTGCGCTCTTCTTCGGCATCCAGGTGCGCTCTTCTTCGGCATCCAGGTGCGCTCTTCTTCGGCATCCAGGTGCGTGCACCTGCTGCCTTCAGGTGGGGCTCTGCTGCGTTCCAATGGGATGCCTGAATGCAGCAAAGGCTCATCCCCCCAGCAGTGGAAAATGATGATGCCTTGGGCCATCCTCTGCCTTGCATGCTCAATGAGGCGGCCACCATGCAGCCTGGTGAGCATTGCCGCCATCTCACTGCCGCCATCTCACTGCCGTCCGTTAATCCACGCCTCCCATCTCACCTCCCTCCGTTCTTCCCTGCTCCATTCCATGCCATGCAGACGGGAGTGATGGTGGCGGTGGTGATCTCCCTCGGCTTTGTGATCAACGAGTCCGCCAACGCGCAGTGTGAGGAGCTGGGGCGGCTACCCGGCACCACAGTGTACCGCACAGTGCAGCAGTACCCCGACGCCAAGGTCACCCCTGGCATCGCTGTCATCAAGTGCCACTCCCACCTGTAAGCTTCCCTCCACCCCCACTCTCATAACCTGCCTCACCCCGTCTGCACTCTTGATTCTTCACCAGTTTCCCCTCTTCCCTATCCGCTTCCCCCTTCATCCCTTTCCCCCCCATTTCCCCCTCAGGTACTTTGCGAATGTGAGCAACCTGCGGGACGTGCTGAGGCGCTACGAGGGGCTCACCAGCAGAACGCCCCTGCCCGCCCCAAGCCCTGTCACCACACCCACGCGCTCCCCCCCTGCTGCCACCGCTGCCGCCACTCCTGCTGCCAGCACCCGCACCAGCACCCCCAGCCCTGCCCGATCCTCCACCAGTCCTAGCAGCCTGGCTCGGCGAGCCAGCGACGGGAGCTTGGACGGGCGCACCAGCAGCTTCAGGAGCGGTGGGAGCAGCAGGGGCGGGGGAGGGGGGAGCGGCAGGGGCGGGGGAGGGGGGAGCAGCAGGGGCGGGGGAGGGGGGAGCGGCAGGGGCGGGGGAGGGGGGAGCAGCAGGGGCGGGGGAGGGGGGAGCGGCAGGGGCGGGGGAGGGGGGAGCGGCAGGGGCGGGGGAGGGGGGAGCGGCAGCAGCGGGGGGAGCGGGGAGTGTGACGTGGAGGGGGGAGGGGGGGCGGGCGAGGCACTGGTATCGCCAGTGGAATCATCTGCACGGGACCAGCAGGGACGGAGAGGAGCGGCGGCAAAGGGGCGAGCTCTGGGTGCGGCAAATGTGCCTATAGAGTATGTGATTATAGACATGACGTCAGTGCATGCAGTGGACTCAGCAGCGTGCCATGCGTTGAGAGAGATCTGTCTGGAGTACCAGGGGAGAGGGGTGCGCCTGGCCCTTGCCAACCCCAGCCATGCCGTCATGCAGAGACTCACACGGGCGGGGATCCCGGACCTGATCGGGCAACAGTGGTTTTTTGTGCGGATTTTCGATGCCGTGCAGCTCTGCAAGGCTGACATGGCGTGCCGGCACGCTGCAGCCTCTGGTGCGCTGCCACCTGGCGGGTTTATGGTTGCTGACGTGGAGCAGAAGAGGGTGGGGCAGCAACGGCAGCAGCTGCAGCAGCAGCAGCAGCAGCAGCAGCAGCAGCAGGGGAGGGTGCTGGTGCGGCCGCATTCGTTTTCAGAGGATGTCAGGGTCGCTGCTCGGCCTGCACAGGCAGATGGGCAGGTGGAGAGAGGTGTGCGGGGTGGGGGGAGGGACAGACAGAGTGACGGTGTGGGGCAGGTGGCAGGGGGAGGGAGGGGGCGGACAGTGACGTGGGGCATGCAGGGGACGAGAGCACGGGGGGCAACAGAGAGAAGCAGTGGGGATGGGCCGGGTGGGGTGGGGATGGATATTGGATCAGTGGTTGGGTCAACAGCAGTGGGGGGTAGGGGGTCAGGGGGCAGTGCCAGGGATGGGCGCATGGCAGGCTGGCCGGAGGAGGACGAGTTTCCTGGCAGCCCCGACTATGGTATTCTCATGCCTGCTGGGGGCATTGCTGCCGCCGCTGCCTCCCGTGCAGCTGCAGCAGAGGCAGGGGCAGGTGATGGGGAAGGGGAAGGTCCGTCGGGCGTGGGTGTGGCGTCGCCTGAGTTTCCACCACTCGATGGGTTTGACGCGCATGCGTTTTCAGCACCTGAAGTGATGCAGTCTGAGTATGTGCTGGCAGATGCAGAGGAGGAAGAGTCGGAGTGGGTGAGAATACGACGGGATAGGAAGAGGAGGGAGAAACATGCAAGGGCTAGGCCAGATGAAGATGGGGAGAGCACTGGGCAAGATGAGGCTGAGGAAGACAGCCGCCCTACTTGCCCTGTATGCCATGGCTTTCTGCCATTGGCTGATGGCCAGACGCCAGATTATGAGCCTAGCCATGTCCTTGTGGATTATTGTGTTTGCTTTAGTGACTAACCTTACATGTACAATGAGAAGTCGTCTTAGAGGTTTTTACGCACTCTAGCGAAAGGTTTGGCGCCGCTACTGAGGTGGAGAAAAGAAGGTTTCGGTTAGCGAAAGCGAAAGCGATTCATTTAGGCCATCGCTTTGCTGCAAGATCTTTTCCGACACACTCCAGATCTTTGACGGTGACCCTACAGTTCCGTTTGTTTGAGAAAACCGCTTCCGTCAAGACAGCGCCACATGTCTGTTCCAGCTGTACAACAGTACAGCACAAAAGAATTACCTGATTGGTGGATAGCATTCGGTCTGTCCCCTTCCAAAAAAACCACCAATTTGATTTGGCTGGTTGGCCAAGCCATGTGAGACCAAAGGCGACCCGGCAGTAAAGCACCGAATTCCTCCGAAAACGTGACGTACCGTACCCTCCTTCCGTGCAGTTTCCGCTTACACCTTCCACAGTCCCTGCGACATTGCTCGCACACCAGCTCGGCGAAGGGTGTCGCATATGTCGAATGTAACTGCATTTTCCTCGAACACCATTCGAGGAAACTGCATTCACCTGTAATTCGACCCCTTACGAACTGTTCGACGAAAGCATTTGACGAAGCGTGCCATATGTTCGCCAGTGTTTTGAGAAATCTCACGCCCTCACTTCCACCATTTTCTCCCGCACCTCGCGGCACGCTTGAACAGCCTGGACTGGACCTTTCATCACTCGCCATTTGGTGTCATCGCCTCACCACCGTCCCACTTCTATGCTTGTCCTCTCCTGTTTTTCCCTTGGTCCAGCCACACCACACCACCGCGGGTTAGGTGCAGCATTGCGGCCCTGCCACCCACACGCAGTATTCACAAGTTTAGGGCTTAGGTCGTTGGAATTCGCGTTTGTGTTTATCGTCGCTAGTGCATGGATGACGGAATCCGCTCTTTGCGTGCCTCGCATGTCACCCCATCACCATCGTGCCGCACACTACGGCGACCCGGCTTCCTCGCATTACGCCCATTCGTCGCAGTCTCCCGGGCAGTCGCTTCCTCATTCTGATTCGTCGCCTTTGTCGCACGTCAGTCGTCGTTCTCATGTCGCCTCCCCCGCCGTTGCGCCCGTCGCGCCTCTCTTGCTGGATTCTTCGCAGTCCTCCCAAGTTTTCGAATCGCCTTCCGCCCCTCACGATAGCTCATTAGCAACCTGGCCTTATCAATCGCGCTCCGCATCCGAACCGCTTCCCCCCGGGGCGCAGATGATTGGGGTCGAGGCGCCCCGACATCAGATGATCGGCAAGCGCCGAATGCGGGGGAGCAGCGCGCCTCGCGTGGTGATTCTGCCGCCCATGAAGCAAATCAAGATCGAGCCGGCGCGCATCGTCAGCGTCGACGTGCCTGGCGGAAAGGCTCTTGTGGGGGAGGTGATATCCGGGCCGGATGCTGCCGCCATTGACGTGTCAGTTCCTGGTTGGTCCGCGGCTGCGCCCCAGTCGCTCATCCACCCGTTCCCTCCGCCACCGCACGAGGCACCGCTCCCCGCGTCCACCGCATCCCCCGCCCCTGTTCTGCCGTGCGTCCCCCCTGCGCCTGCTTCCGCCGCCGCCTCACCCCACCGCTGCCCTCCGCCGAGCTTTCAGGAGCTCGCGGCGCGCACCCCCCGTTACAAGGGCGTGCGGCAGCGCAAGTGGGGCCGGTGGGTGTCGGAGATCCGCGAACCACGGCGCCGATCGCGCATCTGGCTTGGTTCATACTCGAGCGCGGAAGAAGCGGCGCGCGTGTACGACATGGCGGCGCGGATGCTACGAGGCGACGCGGCGGGGAGTCTCAACTTCCCCGACAGCCGCCAGGACGTGCCGCTGCCGCCCGCCATCGCCGAGTCGCTCGTCCGCGTCTGCCAGGAGGTCGCGGAGGACGCGGCTCGCGCAAGGGGGGACGGTTGCGGAGGAGTGGGGGGAGGGGCAGGGGAAAGACCGTTCTGTGCGGAACCTTTGTCGTCCGATTCGTCGCCAGAGGAGGAGTCGGACAGCAATCCGACGGCCGTGCAGGCAGCAAGCAGCTGCGGCGCGGGGAGCGTGTTCTGCGCGCGCTCCGCCCCCACTACCGAGATCTCCAGTCGCGTGTCGCCGCTCTCCCTCGCCTCCGCCACCCGTCCCGCCCCTTCCGCCGCGTTTCGCCTTTCCGCTGCGAATGTGTCCCCCACGAGCTTTCCCCCGCCCAGCACACGGCCGTTCTCCGCTCCTCGCTTTCCCCTCATGGTGGAAATCCCGCCTCAAAAGACGTCTCCAGACGTGATCGTGCTCCCGGACTCGCCACCAGCAGAAACGGCGGAGATTGAGGATGGAGCTGATGGCGACGCGGTAATGCGCGGATCGCGCATGTCCCTCGCGGCCTGCACCGCTCGCCCGCGCAGCGTGCACGTGAGCAGCAGCGGTGGCTCCACGGACGACCCTCCTGCCGCCCCTCCTGCGCCCCGCCCTTCACCACTACCCTCCACTTCCGCGGCCAACACTACTGCTGCCACTACCGCTACACCTGACCCTCACACGGCTGCTGCTGTGGCTACACCGGGTGTGCCTGCTGGTGCAGCGAGTGTGGCTGTTGCAGTGGGTGTGCCTGCGAGCGCGTCCCCCAGTGCGCGTGCCCCCACAGCAGCAGTGCACGCGCTGGCGCAGCTGCTCTCCTCCCTTGCTGCCCTCGGCTCCGCGCTCTCGCTTCCGCCACCTGCTGCCCCGCCAAGCAACAGCAGCACTGCCCATGCGCTTGGGGGTGACGGTCAGGCGCCAGGCAGCAGCATTGAGACAGCAAGCGAGCATGTTCAGGTGGCCGGGAACAACAATCAAGTGCCCGGCAGCAGCGGGAGCCTTCTAGGCGCGGCAGCAGCGCGGGAGCAGCTGATGCGCATTCTACAGTCACCCCTGCTACATTCACACCACACAATTGCTGCTGGCGGGCAGGGCGGACATGAGGGACATGGGCAGCAGCAGCAGCAGCAGCAGCAGCAGCAGCAGCAGCACCAGCAGCAACCGCCTTTCCAGTTCCTGCCTCCCAGTGCTGCTGTCAGCAATGTAGCTGCTAGTGACGTAGTTGGTGGGAACACGCAGTTGCCTCCGCCCGCTGCCGAATGGCCCGCATCACCCTCGCCACCACTCCATGGCTCCACGCCTGCTGGCCTGCTCCGCGCGTCCCACCCCTCTCCCCCTCCTCACCCTCCACACAACGTGCCTGCCGCTGCTTCCCTGCCGTCAGCCTCACCTCCCCCTCCCCAGCCTCCCTTGGTTGTTCCCCCTGCGTCCCCCCAGCCCCCTTGCTCTGCGGCCCCTGCGTCCCCCCAGCTCCCTTGCACTGCGCGCCCAGCGTCCCCCATCCCGTACAGCAGCGCCTTTGACTTCGAGCCGCTGCTGCTGCTGGCAGGCGACGAGGGGGAGGCGGGGGAGGGGCAGAGAGGGGAGGCCGCACCCGGGGAAGGCGCAAATGCACTGGAGTACGGGCAGGAGGAGGAGGGAGGGGAAGGGGAGGAGAGGAGTGTGCATGCGGCCATGGCTGCTGCTGCGGCGGCTGCAGTGGAGGCGAATGAGCAGCACGGGCAGGGAGGGGGCATGGACCGTGCAGTGTCAGCCACAGCAGAGCAGTTCCACATGTGGCAGCAGCAGCTGTGGGAGCTGTAGCACGCTCTACTCTCGGCTCGTGGATCTTGTGTGTCGTATGCTGCGGAAGCTGCTGGATCTGCTGGAATAAGGTCACGATCAGCAGGCTACAGTCTGGAGGTCGTCAAGTACCGTATTGGAGTTCCTTTTCTGTTTTGTTTTCGTTTTGTGTGTTCTGTTTGCTGCTCGACAGGCCTCACCCGATATCATGCACCTCCGCTACAAGGCCCCTCAGCTTTATTCCCAAGGGGTTGGGCCTTCGCTTGAAGGGCATCCCGTGTAGCCACACATCTCTGATGATGGCTATGTGATGTTGGAGTTCCTTCAAGTGTTGTGGAGGCCCATGCTATCTGGTGATGCCCATTTGAAACTTTTGCTCGCATATCATGAACTATTTATTTATATTTGTCTTCAGGCTTTTTGTTGTGCATCCATTGCATAAGAATGAGCTGCTTTCAAAGAAGAAAAGGCACAAGTATCTAAAATAAATATGGTATTTTAGCTATCAAGAATTATTAGGCGCACTGTTGTATTCTACTCGTTGACTACATCTGTTTTGAAGGTCTATAAAATCACAACCCTGTGGCGATAGCTTAGCTAGTTTGGGTAAAATCAACTTCCAGCCACACAGCACACCTCCCGAGTCCCGAGTCCCGACGGGCTGAAGATGCACCCGCCAGGCCAGAAAAGCGGATCTCCTTTATGGGATCGTCACTGTTGCAGACAGATAGGGGAGCGAATCTGACGTGGCGCTGTGAGCCTTTTTGAACCACTTCTCCCCACCTTCATCTGGTTTGTTTGGCTTACCCAGTTCAAACCAGCAGACTTGTCCACAGAGCAATTTCCGCAGAGCATCAGTTTAGTGACGACCAGACGAGAACACATCGCCGCCATGGCTCTCAGGTCAGTGTGTCAGCCTCAGTTTCTCGTGCAATTTAGTGTTGCGCAGTGTTGTGAAAGCGACAGTTTGTGCTGTGCAGAGTGTTCGCGTCCCAGGCCGCCACGTCTTTGAGGGTTCGTTGCCTTCCAGCGACGGGGACCCTCATCGCTCCCTTCTGGCGATCCTTCGCTTCTGGTGAGTTTGCATTTCTTCATCAGCAACATAGTTCAAGTAGAAACTTTGACATCCCATAACAAGGAATTATTATCTCGTCCTGCAGCTGCGGAGAACCGGAAGTACTTGAAATCACATGAATGGGTCGAAGTGAACGGCGAGGTCGGGACAGTTGGCATCTCAGATTTTGCCCAAGTGAGTTTTAACGTGGCATTTCGCTTCCAAATTTAGACTCGATTCCAACGACCTAGACTGAGATGATTCTCCGCGTGGCAGAATGAGCTGGGCGAGCTGGTCTTCGTGGACATGCCGAAGGCCGGCACGCAGGTCAGCAAGGGACAAACGTTCGGCGTGGTGGAGAGCGTGAAGGCCGCCAGTGACGTGTACTCGCCCGTCACCGGAGAGGTTGTTGAGACGAACGAGGAGCTCGGCAGCAACCCTGCTCTGGTGAGTCTCACGCATCTGTCTTCCGGCATTTAACATGAGCAGATTGCGGAACAGGAGGAGACTTACACTGCTTTCCCAATCTCCCGTCCATCCCGTGTGACATTGTGCTGACTCTCTATCACTTATTGCTTCAGGTGAATACGTCTCCCTTCGCTGATGGGTGGATCATGAAGGTGAAGATTGCCAACCCTGCAGAGCTGAACGACTTGCTTGATGATGACGCTTACAACAAGCACTGCGAGGCTTCAGCGCACTAAAAACCTGGCCTTCCTTTGTATTTACATTGGCATGCTGTAATTTCATTGTTATGCCACTGTAATGTCCATTGCATTCTTTTGTGGTCCCTCACACACCTGATACTGCATGACAGAATACCCTGGTACAGAAGCTCCCCTATTTCAGAGTCCGCTTTGAGGAAGGGTTGAAAGCGGGAAATAGAAGAGAGTTTGTTGCTCCGACTATGCTTTAGAGAGTAAAATCCATGTATTTTTTACACACTTTACAAGACATGGGTTCCTTCACATTATTAAATGTCTGGAGAAGTTTCTGGGTGAGGATGATGCAAATTGAAGCGTTCTGTTTCTATACCTATATACTTCAGCCTCCATAAACGAATAAAAACATGAAGGATTTCCCCACGTATCATGTATTCGTTGCGTGTTTCGGGTCACGCAGTAAACATTATGGAACGGGTGTGCGATATTATGCAGCACGTGAAGTTTTGAACCAATTAGCAGACATGAAATTCTACTATTGGTTGACACCGTTTGTTTTCTCGCCCTTAATTGGTGGTGTTGCGACAGCTCGAATGGGGATGACTCCCTCGCTTTCACTTTACACGGAGTGCTAGATGAGCGACATCTGGCAATGACGTGGCCGACGATGGGTAGTGTATGAGGCGTGGTACTTGCCTTGGGTGTTCTGTTGCCATCTCGATCGCACGCTTGCCAGGCCTTCAACCTCCAGTCAGCTTCCTTCCCCCCAATTCCCAGAAACCTACCTCTCCCCTCCTCCCCGCACCCGCTGATTACTGACGGTTATTGTGAACACATGTGTCGGTGTCTAATCCCATTGTCCAATTACAGCACGCTATTATGCATCTGCGCTTCCCCGTGTACCGCTCACTCCCTACAATTCACTCCCCCACCCGTCAGGCCTCGCTTCCGCCTTTTCCCCGCATCACTGGTTCACCGCATTTATGTCTTCATCATCGCGGCTCGTCTCTCCTCAACACCGCACAACCAATGTCTGTCTGCATCCCCCATCAAAGCACTTGAGTTGAGCACTTGTAGCGTTCACGTGCTAATTAGTGCCGAGATTCCATTTTCATCTTATCGAAATTCGGTTCTCCGCCTCCTCCATCGTTTGTGCGAAGCGTTGTTATCGCGCAAATCGAACCGATGGCGGTCAGAGCACTGCACTCTTCCATCCACCCAACGACCTTCCCACCAGCGAGTCGACCGGCACACAATCTTCGCAGCTCTTCCCCTCCCTCTCCCGCATTCGTCCATTTTAAATCTAAACAGAGTTCCGCTGCCTTCGCTCGTCCCGTCCATTCACGCTCCTCCCGTCAGCGAAAAGCCGTTCTCGCGTCGCATGGCTCGTCAGCAGACGGTCCGTCTGCAGCGGCGCCGTCACCAGCACGTCAAACAACTCCTCAGGCGTCAGCGGCAGCGGATCTGCCATCACATGCTGCGAGCCAGGAGAAGCTTGCTCGAGCTGCGGAATGGCTACGAAAGGCGGTAACGGGAGCCGTTGTCGGTGCGGCGGCGGCGGCGGTGCTTCTAGTCGGGATTCCCGCTCCGTCAGTTGCGGAGAGCTTGCTAAGCGGCGAGACCACGGATGTGCTGATGAGCGACGCGGCGATGGGCGTGGAGGAGGAGAACGGCGTGCTCACTCTCATCGTGCCGCGACCGCACGTCACTGGGGTACGTGAGGTCATGTCATTGGAGAATTATATCATTCGCTGAACGGTCTTGGTAGCATGTATGATGACGAGTTAAATCCCAACTAATGGAGATCAACAAGGGGAGTTCACTATAAGCTGTAGAGCACGGCACCCACGCGCGTCTTCCGTCATCCCATCTCTTCCCCCCTTCCCCCATCGCGGCGGCGCAGGTGGAGGCGGCGCAGCGGACGATGGTGGAGGCATGGGGGATAGTGCGCGAGGCGTTCGTGGACCCCACCTTCAACCACCAGGACTGGGATCGCCGCCTCGCCGCCGCCATCCGCGGCAGCGTCTCGGCGGGCAGCGCGGACGACGCGTACGCGCTCGTGCACGACATGCTGGCGACGCTGGGCGACCCGTTCACTCGCCTGGTGTCGCCCAGCGACTACGACAGCTTCCGCGTGAGCAGCGACGGCGGTCTCGAGGGCGTGGGGCTGCTGCTTGCCTCCGACACCACTGACGGCCGCCTGGTGCGCCGCTCTTCCCCTCTCCCCCGCGCGCTGACTTCCCGACTTGCACGGACGTCCGTCGTTCTCTGTCGCTTGCTCGTTCTCCGCCGTTCCCTCCACCGCTCATACCCGCCACGTGCTCGACTTGCTCTCCGCGCTTCCCCATCTCGTTCCTCTGCTCACCCCTTCCCTCTTTCCGTCCCCCTCCCCACTTTTTTCCCCTTGTCTCCGCGCGCAGCTGGTGCTGTCGCCCATCGAGGGCGGCCCCGCAGATCGAGCGGGCATCCACACGGGTGACGAGGTCGTCGCCGTCGACCGTACGTACATCCTCCGCCCCCCCCTTTCCCGCTGCTCTCCCTCTTGTGTTTCTTCCCTCCCCTGTTGCTCTCTTGCTCCTTTCCCCGGATCGCCCGCTCTCCCTGTTCTCCGTCCTGTCGCTTCAACCATACCTGTCAGCCACACAACGTCGCTCCCTTGCTGATCCCCTAGCTGTTCTTGTCTGTCCCCTCTTCCTCCCCTGTTCTTCTCTGTCCCCTCTTCCTCCCCGCGGTGCAGACTCCCCGTTGAGCGGCATGAGCGGGCAGGAGGCGGCGAACCTGCTGCGAGGCAAGGCGGGCACAGCAGTCACGCTCACCGTGCGCCCCGCTGTAAGGCCTCCCCGCATCCCTGTTATAATACATCTCGTTACCGTCTCTGGTGATGTCTACTGCAATCTGCCCGCCCACATGCCCTCACGCGCTGATCCGTCCCTTGTGCTGCAGAGAGCTGACGTGGACGGCTCTGATTCGCCGGAAGGAACAATGGACATCCTGTTGAGGCGCGAGCCCATAGCGCTGTCGCCGGTGTACGCCACAGCCCTGCCCCACCACACGGAGCAGGGCGCGCCCACCTCCACGGGGTACATCCGCCTGGCGTCCTTCTCCCAGAACGCGGCGCAGGACATGGCACGGGCCATAGAGCGGCTGGAGGGCGAGGGCGTGGCCAACTACATCCTCGACCTGCGCAACAACCCCGGCGGCCTCGTGCACGCCGGGCTCGACGTGGCGCGCATGTGGCTTGGGTCGGGCGCCACGCTCGTGAACACGGTCGACCGCACCGGGGCCGTGGAGGCCATTGCTCTGCG